GCGAGGGCAAGGAGTTTTATGTTTTTCTCCTTGTGGCTCATTTTCTACTTCCTTATCGTTTTCCATGCTCTTGAACTCTAGAAGAAACACAAACAAATACAGCTTGGTAGTTTTTAGATCACGCACACAAATTTCATTTTTTTTGGAGTGAGAAAGAGAGGGATAAGGGAAGAAGGCTGTTAGACACACTCATAATTTTATTGAGAGAAAGAGAGATAAGGGACAATGAGGTCATGATCTGTGTTGGTCGACCATTGATGACGAAGACTGACGATGGCGTACGACTGAAAGAAAAGAGTTAGGTGTTTTAGAAAAGATAGACCTTAGCTCCGATACCATGATATAATTTGATAATAATTAGTCTCATTGATTAATAAGAATTATAACATCAGCATATATAGAGAATACATGGAGAATCCTAACCAAAGCAGAAAGAAAAGAGCTAGGTATTTTTGGGAAAAGAAACCATAACCCCGATACCATGATACAACTCCATAATAAGTGGTGATGAGCCATTGGGCCATTTGGCTTAGGCCCAGCCCAACGCTTGTACAACCTAATGTGATCCGAGGGTCCCTGGGATTGGCCTAGTCGCGCATAAGGAAAGAAAATCCCGTTCTTCCCGTGATTGACCACATCCAATTGCGGAAGAAGTGGGATTGCAAGGCTCAACATGGAAGGCGGAGGAAGATCGGCTGGGTCTTGATCTAACGACCTTATTTTAGCACTTCCCTTGTATTGTGCAAAAGACTATACCTAAATAGGTGCGAAACTCCATTTTAATTCTTAAGCTCAATACAACTGATTTACACTTGCACCATCTTTTGTGTTCTCAAGCTCTGTGCTTTTCTTACTATCTTTTCTCATTCAGTAGTTCGACTCGCCTTCTCAGGTCGGAGCATCTGATAGAATTCTTTTCCATCAATTGGTCTTATTGAATGATAAGAATTACATCAGTACATATAAAAAAGCTTGAAAAAGTACTAAGCAAAGTAGAATAAGAAATTATGATAATAAGACAATAAGCAATGGAAATAATAATAGTACAGTATTTTATTTCATATTATTAATATTATTCCTAATATAATTAAACATATTTTTTCTCACGGTTCATGATTAAAGTTAATTAGTATTAAAGTCAAAGTACAACTTTTTTTTGGGAGTAGCTATAAAAAGTGCTACCTCTGTCCAAATTAATAGTCTGTTTTATTTTTTTAGGTAGTTTAAGAAAAAATGAAATTGTTTGGCCGAGATTTAAGAGTAGAGAGGGAGAAAATAAATACGAACCACTTATTTCATTTCTTTGATGAATTAGAAATTCATTTTGGGACCACAAAAAATTGAAAAGATTAATTACTACTCCCTACGTTTTTTTAATCCTATTGACTCTATTAGAATATAGTTCTGTTCATACTATTCTTTACCTAATGATGCAGAAAAAGCCAACATATCTACTTCCGTTGGAGCTCAAACTTGGATGAACTTTTACATGAATCTAGGGGAATGGACTTCATACTGTTCAAAAAGACTGCGTTCCATTCGCCTGATCTGATTTGATTTTTTGAAGATCTGATCTAATCTGGTCTGATCTGAACTGATTACAATTATAAATAAAGTTGTTTCTAATCTGATCTGGTCTGATCTGATTATAATAAAAATAAGTAATAAACAAAAAAATAAGTTGAACGGAATGTTCTGTAACTCCCTGAGGACACCATTAGAGTTACTACGTATTTGGGAGGGAGAGAATACTATAAGTCTATAAATAGCTTGGGTTCATTTCGGTTCATTTCTTGGATTGGCAATATTGCATATCTACCAATTAACTCATACGGAGTATTTTCTTGGGTAGATACTACGTAGTCTGTGCGACTACGCGCAATTGTGTTATTCTTCTCCATGGATTCGCAGCAGACAATAAGCTCCTCCTTCTCCTCCTCCTCTTCCACTGATCTCCCCCAACACCAAGAGAGCCTCAAGATCTCCAAAAGTTTCCTTTGGCCGGAACAAGATCTAGCACCCGCCCACGAAGAGCTTAACGAGCCCGTAATCGACCTCGAGAGCTACTAAGAAGTAGATTCGACTTTAATTCCTGTTCTCTGTTCGACTCTACTTTCTGTCACCAATCTACTATCAAAATTCAATTTACTTCTTCCCAATGACTGCCGAACAAGGCCTTATAAACCCTACCTCAATTTTTTTTAGAAAAGATAATAGAAAAAGAAAGTGAGAAAGAGAGAGAAAAAAGAAAGAAGGAAAAAGAAAAGAGAAAAGGAAAAAATGGAACAATCTTTTTCATAATGGTATAATTATTTACAATAAGTGATTTCTTTATGTTATCTAATTTTTTGGTAGTACGGAGTATATATTTAAAAAATTAAGATACATTTTGTAAAAAAATAATTTGTTGTTAGTTTTAGGACTTTTTATTACTCAAGTTTTATAAAATTACGTTTATGACATTAATTTTCTTACTAAAATTAAAATGTATTCCCTCTATATTGCATCTTTACTATTTACATAATCAAACTTTATTTACTTTATTTAATTTTTTTTGCTACTTATTTGGTAAAATAATATGGCTATGTCGCCACTCGTTTCAAAAACTTTTGATGTTTTTTTAAATATGTAGTTTTTTAAAATCCCGCCCTAATCTTCAAATAAATTAAATTAAAATTAACTTCAATCACTGCAAAAATCGTAAATCAAAACAGACACTATAAATTGGAATGAAGGAAGTACAAATCTAATTTTTTTGTAAAATAAATCATTTTGACTATTTATTTTAAAGATTGTAGAGATAAAAAATTTATAGCATGAGAGATCCACCATCTAAAATGAAATAAGGAAAGATAGGGGAAACTCGAAAGTGGGATGACCCAGGGGCGCTCCAGTGCCCCGTTCGTAAAATTGACAGTTCCTACCCCCTAATCTCCCTGGTAAACCCCTCCACCCCACCCTAACCCAAACACACCTCCACACCCCCTTCAATTGCACCCCACAAGTTGATTTTGACTTTGGAGTCAAAATTTGAGTTCAAAGTCAAAATCAACTTGTGGGGTGCAATTGAAGGGGGTGAGGGTGTGTGTTTGGGTCGGGGTGGGGTGGGGGGTTTACCGGGGAGATTGGGGGTAGGAACCGTCAATTTTACGAACGGGGCACCGGAGCCAGTGGCGGATCCAGAAGTTCAGCTAGATGGGGTCACCATTGGTTGGGGTCCAGAGCAGCATTTCTGAATTTTTTATAGGCTATTTGAAATGACAAAAAATAAATAAATGATGAATTTTGCTTCAAACATTTATTAAATGTAAACCATTTTTAATAGGCAATGTGAAATTTTATTATACATAAATAATTATATGCAATAAAATACACTTTACTAAAAAAATAAACAAAAAATATAAATTTGACATGATTAGATGAGGGCGCATTAATTTTTTTGGGGACATATATACATAAATTTTTAATTTATTATTCTTTTTTACCTTATTACAAATGTTTAGTTGGGGCATTTGACTCCTACTCCCTAAAGGTGGATCCGCCCCTGACCAGAACGCCCTCGCGTCATCCCATGACATTGGTTTCCAATGTCATGGGAACCTTGCCCTATAAGATGATACCAAGTAAGCAAAAGAGAAATGAGAGAATGAGAAGAAAGACTAGAGTTGGAACGCAACATTTTTATCTCTTATAAAAAGTCTAGAAATCAGCCTAAATAAGTCTAAAACATAGATTAACTATCAAAACAAGAGTTCTATGTTTTTATTAATGAAATAAGAGTTCGCACTGTAGTAATGTGACTGTAATGTAGCATTGTACAAGTGCAAATTATTATACTTTTTAGTAATATACATGACAACGTCTGGTTAGGGGTGGACAAGGTACGGTTCCGGTCCGGTTCCAGTTCCGGAACCGGCGGTTCCGGTACCGCCACCCCTGGGAACTGCTACCAGTACCGTCCCAACCGATACCAGCAGTACCAGCGGTTCCGGTACTGTACCGGCCGGTTTCCGCCACCTTATATATATATATATATATATATATATATATATATATATATATATATATATATATATATATATATATATATATATATATATTTTAAATTTATAAAAGTATAAGTATTAAAGGAAATAATGAAATAAAATATCTAAAAATGTAGTTGTTATTTAAAAATTGAAATGAAAAATGAATGATACACGAACAACTACATTTAATATCTTGCAGTTCAAAAAAAGTGATGATATAAAGAACTATAAAGAAACCCTTGAAGGATTTTATATCTCGCTCACCTAAAAAAACTATTTACATTAATATAAAAAAAGTTTATAACTTAATCCTTGGAACTAGGGCTTCCATCTGTGGTTGCATTCATGTAATGTTCGACATTAATGTCGTACCCTTACTCTTGAGCTCTATGTCTTGCCAAGAGCCAATCTCGGTTGCAAACAAGTGTCTCAAGCGATTCAGCGCTAGGACAACTTCGGTAGTCGGTTAGAATGTTGCCACTAGACCGGAATTCTTGTTCCACAACTACGGTTGAAACGGGGACGGATAAAACTTGTATTGCTAGCATTCCAAGAGATGGGAACATTATTCATTCCGCTTCCACCATTTGAGGATGTCAAAGTCCATGTGGTCATCGTCGTAACCGCATAGCACCCCTTGGTACATAGCAAGTTCGTTGTGTGACCTTACGGTTGTACCACCTGAACTTGTCGAAGCATGATGACGCTTATCTTTTTTTGCCAAAAGGCTACCAACTATCTCTTTAAAACCTTTTTTTTGCTTTGGTAGGCGGAGGAGGTGTTGTTTCTTCCGGTGCATTACCGTAAATTACTTGAAATTCTTTAAATAAAACCTCAAAAAGATCAATAACATTATCTCTTTCTTTTGTCCATTCTATTAAATGATTGTAGTAATAATTATTTTCATCTAATAAACAAGTGTAGTATTACTCAATCAGAATTTGAAAATTTTCAATCTTAAAGTGAGAATTACAAATAATACCAATTTTATAAATATCAGGAATATAGAAATAATAAAAACATCATTTATCCTTCATAGGAGTTACATAGGGGTACAACTGTGGATCAGATAAGCTTTCACGAAAACATGTTGCAATTGTAACACACTCTTTAAAAAATTTGTTAGTAGTAGGTTGGTAAACATACGAGAAAGTAAGAGTAGCATTATTAAAAACTTCTAATACGGCATTCAAGTTTTCAACAATAATAAATTCATTCAATTGAATCATATAATGAAGTTCATTCTTGAGAAATGCAGCAAGTTCGTCTTTGTAGCTTAGAATCTGTGCAATCAAGTTATATGTACTATTCCATTTAATGGTGATATCTTTAGCAAATGTTATTGGTTTTTTTTCCCCCTAGATTTACAGTACCCTTAGCCTATCTTTCCTAGATTTACAGTACCCTTAGCCTATCTTTAGCAAATCTTTTTTACCCCAGATTCCAGTGCCCTTAGCCTATCTTCCCTCTCTGACACCACCTTTGACGACCTAACTGGTTATTATCACCGACCCCCTCCACAACATCCCTCTATCGCAACCCCCCTCCGTCACAACCCCCGTCGTCCCAGTCCTGCATCCTCCCGTCGTCGGAGACCTGCAACCCTCCGCCATGTCAATCCCCTTCATTGTGCAGATCTATTTTTGATCTCTCGTTGAAGAAAACATACACCCCACTACAAATCTAAAAAAATTAAAATTTGTCACCTTTATGCAGATCTAGATTTGGTAGATCTAGTAGTTGGATGGCAATCCCACTCTGGCAAAGATGCAACAAAATACTGTCGGAAGAAGAAGCAATCCAATTTGGTTAGATTTAGTTGACGAAAGAAGAAAGAAGAGGAAGGAAGAAGAAAGAGAAAAAAATGAAGAAGAAAGAAGAAGAAGAAGACGGAAGAAGAAAGAAGGAAGATTAAAGAGAAAGAAAAAAGAAAGAAACGAGGAGAAAAAATTAAAGAAGAAAGAAAGATAAGACCGAAGAAGAGAGAAGAAGAAGAAAGAAAAAGAATACGGAAGAAAGAAGAAAAATAAAGAAAGAAAGAAGAAAGAGGAAGAAGAAAGGATAAGAGTAAGGATGTCATTTCAATAGAAATTAAAAGTTTATTTGTGCACGAAAGAAAAAGAAAAGTGAGAAATTTTTTAAGGACAGAGGGAGTAAGATTTTGCTAGATTGTTCATAATACATGGATTTTGTGAAATCTATGGGTTATGTGAAATCTATGGATTATTTTAACTCTATACAGAATTTTTTTATCAACAAGGAGGGGGAGACCCTGAGCTCGTAGCCTCGTGAAGAGGTGGTAGCGTGTCGCGTAGTAGTGACCCTCACTATATCGTCAGTACTCAAGTTTTCCAAATCTGTAGTAGGGACCTCAAACGTTCTCCATGAAGTGTCTTGAAAATCCCCAAGGTTAGCAAGACGATCCGCAACCTTATTTTGTTTACGCAAGATGGCTCTAAAGTTGATTTTATGGAATCTGTCTGTCCAACTCTTTATCGCTATAATGGTATCGCTGATGGGTCCCCTCAAACTTGTCGATATTGTAATCTAATTGAAAACTTCTCTAGCATCAGACTGCACCTCAAGATCCCTCACCCCTCTACCCCATGGCCATTGGATGCCTTTCTCAATGGCTTTAGCCTCGATTTCCTCGATGTTATTTGGTCTAGTTCTGTAGGAAAAACCACCAAGCCATTCTCCTCTATTATTACGAATGACTCCGCCGCACCCAGCCCTGTTTGCCATAACTTTATTGCTTCCATCAACAATAAGAGTGAATTCATGATCAACTGCTGGGTTCCACATTAGCAAAGGATCTCTTGTATTCATCAAAGAGGGGGTTGATACCTGATTTTTGTCGAATGCCCTTTCAATCTCTGTGATTAATCCCTTAATCCAAGCCACTTTATACTCGGTGTCAAGGTCGTCACCACCGAAGGCAACGTTGTTTCGCCACCTCGAGATCCACCAACATGTGACGGCAAAAGTGGTAGCCCAGTTATTGTTGTCGTGTCTACCTTTTTGTCTCCTTTAATTGTCGCCAACCCATCTCCTCATTTCCGTGTGATCTCCATTATAACCTATACCTCCATTGTCAACAAATTTCCAAATTTGTCTTGCTTTTGGGCATGTTCTAAAGATGTGAGAGGTGGTCTCGTGGTCGCTGCAAAGTGGGCAAGAGCTATCCGAAGTGAGTCTTCTTTTCGTTCGCTCAGCATTTCCCATCACCTTCTCATGGCAGATAGTCCACAAAAGAAGCTTCATCTAGCTTGGCACTTTAGTCTTCCAAATCATAGACCACACTTCTTCCTGCACATTTTTATCAAATCCCCTAATTAGATAATAATCCGACTTAATTGAAAACTTACCTGTAGGATCGTGCTTCCAGTAGAATTCATTATGGGTGCTTGTGTCCAACTCCATAACTCGACACTGCATAAAAGAAATAATGTTAGGTGGGAGGTTTGGAATTTTCTCCCAACTCCACCCACGAGAGCCATTCCAAAGTAAAGCAATAGTGGCGTACAGATCATGTCCGCTGCCGAAGTCTTGCACCAAATCGCAAAGTGGTTTTTCACCAATCCAAGTGTCAAGCCAGAACCTCGTCATTTGCCCATTATGAACTCGGCAGTGAATGCCAGCTTCAATCAGAGGCATAACCGTCATGATTCCTCTCCAGGCATTAGACGCTCCCTTCTTGTACACAAAAATATTTTTCCCACCTTTCCCTTTAGAATATTTAGCAATCAAGATATTGGACCAAAGAGATTCTCCTTCACTGAGTAGTCTCCAACCAAGTTCAGCAATGAAGGCTTGATTCATTTCCTTAATAGTTTTTATCCCCAGGCCACCGAATTCTTTAGGTCTTGTGACTTGTTCCCAGTTTACAAGGTGGCACCTATGGTTATCACTTGTGCTGCCCCATAGAAAGCCCCTCACTTTTCTATCAATAGCTTCGAGAACCCTTGTCGGTAGTATCGTTGATTGCATGGCATAGTAAGGAATGGTGGCAAGTGCCGACTGGGCGAGAATTCTATGACCGACCATTGTTAAGAGCTTAGTTCTCCAGCCTTCCAATTTTGTATCTAGCTAGTCTATCAAGAATAGCACCAAACATGTCGTTTGTGACTCTTCCATGGATAGTAGGGACTCCTAAGTATTTTCCAAGGTTATAGGACCTGGGGATATTAGCAAGCTCAGTGATTCCCCTCGCCTCTTCATATTCTGATGTATTTTATTATCAGGATTTTAAAATATTTTGTCAAATTTTTTTGAGACAAAATGAAATAAAGACAATCGACTTTTAAGTAAATATATATTTTTAAAAAAACGATTAAACAAATGAAATATGTTTCCGTAAAAAAATAAAAAATCGTCCCAAATAGGAGTAACACATAGACAAAGTACCAAAATAAGAATTCCATGAATGTACATGATCATGATTAGTAATGTAAATACATTTTAACTTCTTTTTTGTGGATAAAAACATGGAATTTCTATTTTGGTTTATTTTTAATGTTTTAATCCTACTTTAGTCTTTTTACCAAATAGACACGTTATTAAAAAACAAAAACTTGCAAAATTTGCATAATAAGAACATACGAACGAGGGAACCATCATGGGGTTGGAAGATGAAGATAAAATCAAATGCAATCTGAACAAACATTCATGGATGAAAAGATGGTGTTGGTGAATATGACGATTTCAGATTTGAATATGGTAGGCTTGCACTAAAAATTTTTAAGAGAAGAGATTGATGATGACAGTGAATTGTGATGAACTAAAATCATGAATACTTGTACAAAGTATCATACAATCCATCATTTTTAAAATTCTTTAATATTTTTGGACTTTTCAATAACATTAGATTTCGGAAAATATTTAAAAATCTCAATTGAATACACTAAGATTTTAAATAGCTTTTAAAAATCTTAATTGAATACCCGTAGGCTTATAAAGTACGTGAAAATCTTACATAATCTGTATTGAATACACACCTGTAAATCTTGTAGAATGCAATTGACGAGGGTGGTGTAGCTTCCAGTCGGGCCAGAGTGGGGGCATTGGAAGTGGTTTATTGTATTTATTTTCTTTTCTTGTAGATGTGTGTTTTCTAGTTAGATCGTAGATAGAAATGATAACTTATGTACTATGTATATGGTTTTATGGTGGAATGGAAAGGGGACCAATTTAGTTCTAAAATTCTACATGCAACCGGAGCATTCTCTAGGAAACCCTAGGTCCATAAGTCCCCGACTTGACGTCACGCAGCCGCCGCCCTGTCTGTCCGTCGTCAGCCAACGAGGTGAGCAGCTGACAGCCGTCCGTCACCAACTATCCATCGTTCGTATGCCAACAGCTAGTTCTCCAATCAAGTTTTTCATCCATCGCCAGCTCATTCTCATCCTTGTTTGACGCCCGATATGTATACCAAGAAGATAATGTTAGTCGGTGTATCCACGCCTTAGGGGTGTGGTAAATAATGCGTTTAAACACTTTTCAGAGTTTAGTAAAATTGGTGTTGGCAAACGCAGAAGAAATAAATAAAACATATAATTTAAAGCGTAAAATCAATAACACATCCATTTTAGACTAGTTCATGAACTCTCTACTCCAATAACTTAAGGCCTCTCAAGGATTTTGGAACCTAATAAGTCCCGGCTCTTGAACTCCATCAAACCAGCATACTAGATTCAACAAACAACCCTTGCCAATAGGATTCACTCTGAGAGTTCACTATGGCTATCTCGATCCGCTTAACACAATGATTTAAAGGCTATCTTCCACCTTTTCCCCCAAGGATTTCAAAGGATATCCTTGAATATTTTAGCTAAGGATTTCTCGGCTATCCTTAACCGTTACAACTTGATCATTTAATGGAAATTCTCGAATGTAAGGTGTCTTGAAGAGCACAAAAATACGTTTTACACAACGGCTTGATCACAAAGATGAAGAACAAAACTTAGCCGGTGTAGAAAAAAATATACTCTCTTGAAGATACAATATAAACCTATGGAAATGAGAGTATATAACTAAATCACAAGCTCAATAGTGTGTGTATGAAAATCAAGAAAAAGAGGCTCTTGAAATAGCCAAATAATAAGAATGAAGAATAAAAAAACCAGCACACTTATAATATAAAATATGAAGTTTGAAGCTTTGATTCTTGTTGGAATATGAATAATTAAGCCCATATTTATAGTGGAAAATGTTAATTAGTCGTTGGAGGTTAATTAGGATGGATTTTGACGAATTTAAGGTGATCAGATTTGAAATCCGTAATTTGAAAATTCTCCAACGGTAACGGTAGCATGGTATCGGCCTAATGGTATCTAGGTACTGGACGGTGGCAGCTAGGTACCGGACTAGGCGGTCTTCAGGTACCGACATAGGCTATTTTGCTCTAGCGGAACCTGCACGTGGCGGTAGAACGGTACCGGCAGTGGCGGTAAAGCCTACCGTTACTGCGGTAGGGGTACCGTAATATGTACCAGCTCACTGACCTGATTTTTCCAAATTTGGCTTAATCCTTTCTGTTTCAAACCTTTTAGACATTTGAAAATGATTATGAGATGGTTTTAAACATATTTTGTTAGTGTATTTTAGCTTGTGAATATATAGGTATATAAAATAATATTCTTACATTTGTTTCTACCTATACTCTACGCTAGTTTAGTGTTTCAAATTCATTCTTGAGAACCAAATGTTAATGGATTCTAGTTGTACCTGAAACACTTAAACAAACGTTAGCTCCTAAATTTTTTGTTAACATCAAAACACAAGATTTAAGAAACCAAGGCTAACAGACAAATCCTATTCACGATCCGCCTATAATTTATATCTACACCCGTCCAAAGGTCTTGATAATTCTCTAACCTAGTGCTGTGTTTGGTCTAGTAACTATGATGTTTGGGAAAAGGCTACTTAAAACCCTCTTGGAGGGCGAGGAAAAGCTAAATTCCTCACGTCCACAGGTGTCCCTAAGCCAAAGGGCGAACACAAACTCACCACTTTGGAGTTGAATCACTCAATTTTTTGTAGTTAGATCTGCAACAATGTGGATGAATCTATCCAATGAAGTTTCATATCCCATACCCTTGCGTATAAATTACGGTATGATCTCAAAAAAGATATGAGGGTTATAATGGTCCAAGAATTTAGCAGTTGAAGTGTGAATTAAATACTTTGTGTCAAAAAGGTCAAAGTGTTGTTGCTTATTATAATAAGTTCATCACACTTTGGCAACAACTATATGGTTTTGAAGATGCCTCTAATAAATGTACGTGCATAGCGACTGCCGTTACCCGCGTACGAAGAGACTATGAGAAAACTATGGATTTTCTAATGGGTTTTGATGATGAAGAATTTGGAAATGCCTGAAGTTAGATTATTGGAGTTGAGACTATTGTAGATTTGGATAAAGCCTTTTATTTGATTACATAGGAGAAGCGACATCGTACTATTGTCTGTACACGCGATGACCAAACCGATGCTTTCGCATTTGTTGCACGCCATCCTTTTACTGAGTGGTTACTTTGCTCTCACTATGTGCACACAAATAATAAAGTCGACCCGTGGTGGTGGAGGACAATCTGGAGGACGTGGTATGCCGCCCGTGGTGGTGGAGGACCCGCGACTGTCCTCGGTAGTGGCAGCGGCGCAGCAAATACTGTCACCGGTGAGTCCTCTCTCAATCTCAGTGATCAAATGGAATGTCTTATGTCCCTTCTTGAGTCCTCCGCATCTAACAAATATAATGGTATGCCTCCTACTTCTTGTGAATCGTTAATTGATAGTGATGCTTCTCACCATATAGCAGGAAACTTATCCCACATGTTTGATATATTTACCATACCCTCTTTTGGGATAAGTTTGTCGGATGGGTCTCATGTACAGGCACATCAGCAAGGGAGTGTACGCTTGGCATCTAATCTTGTTTTTATTAAGAGTATTATTTGTGCCTAATTTACACTTTCATTTGATCTCTGTGGGTTGTCTAATTCGAGAAAATGCTTGTCATGTGATTTTAATGAACATTGTTGTGTAATTTAGGACCCTTTGTCAAAAACGGAGATTGTACGAGGTGAATTACGCAATGGAGTATATGTTTTTTGTAGTTCGCTATTTCAAGTTCATGTCTCTACGGTTGATCCACTTTTTCTTCATCAACGTCTGGGTCACACATCTCCTAATTTTTTCTTTTTCTTGGTAGTAATAATAAAACTTCTACTGTTAAAAAGTTGCAATCGTTTCAAATTTGTTTCATGTCGAAACAGACTTGTTTTGCTTTTCCCAAAAGTAATAATAAAGCTGATGCAATGTTTTATTTAATATATTATGATCTATGAGGTCCTTACTCAGCATGTATTTCTTCTAGTGCTCATTATATTTTAACAATTCTTGATGATCGTTCTCGTGTTGTTTGGGCTTATCTCATCAAAGCCAAAAGTGAGGTAACCTTGTCTTAAGTGGTTTCTTGCAATGGTCCAAACCTAGTACTCTAAAACAATAAAGGTGTTCCGTTCTAATAATGGTACTAAGTTTTTCAATAATTCTCTTATCCAATGCTATGATGCAATGGGTGTTTCTGTTCAAAAATCTTGTGTAGGGATTCCTTAACAGAATGGCTGGGTTGAGCGAAAACATCGTCACATCCTTAATGTGGCGCGTTCCCTTATGTTCTAAACATCTTTTCCTCTGAAATTTTGGGGTGAATGTGTCAAAACAGCAGCATATCTTATCAACCTAACCCCTACCAAACTTCTTGATTGTAAGTCGATCACGTCTAGAAGTTCTTTCCTCCAAACCCTTTGATTTGCGTCATCTATGTATTTTTGGGTGTCTTTGTTTTGTTTATAAAAAATTGTCAAATACATTTGCCCCCTATAGTATCAAATGTGTGTTCGTAGTATCACTGCTTCTTTCACACTCAGGATATCTCATTTGATGAACCGAGTTTCACTTTTTTTCAAACACTCATGCCGTCCCACCTGTTGGTCAACCTGATTCCAGCCAATTTTTTGACACCCGTCACCCTGGCAAACCCATCGTCGAAAACCCAGCAGCCGAATATCGATGACAATCTCGTCGTTAGTGTCGCCGAACAGTCCTCCACCACGGACATTCTTCGTCCGCTGTCCTCGTCTAGGATTCCACTCCCTTTGTCATCCCACAAGTTTGTGAGTCGTCTCGTCCTTGTAATCCTCTTCTCGTTTGTCTGATTATGTTTTTCACTCGGCTTGAGTCGATATTCATTGTCGAGCTCCTTTTCTACGAATCCTATTTCAACTACAAGGTTTCCTATTACTAACTTTGTTCGTTATGATAGATTACATGATAGGTATAAGGCTTTTCTAAGTGTTGTTAATGCTAGTACTGAGATGAAGAATTTTCATGAGGCTTTTCAATTTGCCTCCAGGCATGAGGGCATGGCTCAGAAGTTACTAGCTTTGGAGGGTAACCATTCATGGGATATCACGGATCTTCCTCCACATCGTCATGCCTTGGGGTGTCAGTGGATTTACAAAACTAAATATCAATCTGGTGGAACCAAAGAGCGGTACAAAGCTCGTTTGGTCGTCCTAAGTAATCATCAAGAGTTTGGTGTGAATTACACTGACACTTTTGCTCTAGTTGCAAAATTAGCTACGGTGCAAGTACCTTTGTCTGTTGCAGTTGCCTGGTCATGGAAAGTTCACCAATTGGATGTTCACAATGCCTTCTTACATGATGATCTTTAGGAGGAAATATATATGAAGTTACCCCTAGGGTATACAACAGCTTACCCTAGAAAGGTCTGTCAGCTTTGAAAGTCATAATATAATTTGCGCTAGTCTCCACGCAATTGGATCGCTAAGCTACTCCGTGCTTTACACAGATTTGGCTTTCGGCAAGCCCACACCGACCACACCCTGTTTGTATGGCACCGTGGTCTAGACATTTTGGTTTCTTTGGTTAATGTAGACAATATTCTTGTGGCGGGTAATAATTCATCTGTCTGCATATCCCTCAAGAAGTATCTCAATGATTGTTTTCACTTGAAGGTTCTTGGTCCAGTTTCGTATATTTTGGGGATTGGGTTCACACGGTCTATAGAAGGCATGGTTTTGAACCAACGCGAGCATGCTTTTGACGTCATCCAAGAGGCAGGGCTATCTAGTTGTTGGACCGTGGACACGCCCATTCAGCCTGGTCACAACCTTTCCATGTCACGTAGTGTTGAGATACGTGCTCCCACAAAATATTGTCTCTTGGTTGGTCGCAAGTTATATCTTACCATCACTCATCCAAATATCTGTTTCTCAATCCATATTTTGTCATAGTTCATGCAGGCCCCACGTCTTGATCACCTCAATGCCGCCATGTGTGTTATTCGATACTTAAAGGGCGTCCTGGTTAGGGTATTTTACTCTGTAGTGACAGTAATATGGTTCTTACAAATTATTCTTATTCAGATTGGGAAGCTGCCTGCTACTGTGTCTCGTTCTTGGGCTAAAGCTGAGTACCGCGCCATGGTGAAAGCATGTAATGTGATCAAGTGGATTCATGGCTTGTTAGCAGCCCTCTTCATCCCATGCATCACAAATCCCAGGTTGTATTGTGATAATAAGTCGGCTATGTTTATTGTTGTGAGTCCAGTCTTCCATGAATGGTCTAAACATATTGATATTGATTGCCATATTGTATGTGAATGTGTTCAATGCAAGCATGTCTTTACCGCTTACGTTCCTACAAAGCTTCAACTTGCTAATTTGTTTACCAAGGCAATCACTAGTCCTCTTTTCCGTTTCCTTGTCTCAAAGTTTGGCATTCTTGATATTCATGCTCCAACTTGAGGGTGACTATTGAAAGTATTTTATTCTATTTATTTTGTTTCCTTGTAGATGTGTATTTCCTAGTTAGATTGTATACAAGAATGACAACTTATGTACTATGTAAATGGTTTGATGGTGGAATGGAAAGACAACCAATTCAGTTCTAACGGAGCATCCTAGGGCCTGCCCTTTTTCTTTCTTTTAAAATTTTCTAATTAGAAAGTAAATGAAAAGTAAAAGACTACTTTGAAGAATTGTTTTGAATTAGAGTAAGGTGCTTCAAAAGGACAAGATCTAGACGGAGGGCGTGATGATGAAAGTGGGTTTGAAACAAATCTTCTCATCTCTCAAAGTTCTTTTTCGATTTAATTTTGTAATTTGATTTTGAGATGGATGTCTCCATCACCGGAGAGGGGGTGATGAGGTGGGTGGGTGATTTCGAGATAGAAGCATTGTCGATGGTGGTTCTGGTTTGAGAGAGTAAGAAAGAAATTGGAAGCGACAAAAATTATAAGGACAAACTTAGAAAGTCAAAACAATTTTAACAATAGTTTAAAACTTGTAACAAGTCAGAGTGGAAAGTTTCAGAAGATGGATGGAGTAATACTTAATGTTTTTTTGAATGATTAAATCTTTTTCTTTTTGTTTGATCTAATTAGATATGATCTTGTTGAATTAAAGTTGTGTTCTCTTCGTGTTAGCATATTGAATTTGATCTAAAATTTTAAAGACTGATCTGATGTGAACCAATCTATTTGAATTAAAGTACTCGTACATGATTCAAAATACTCATACGTTAGTGGGTCGGTTAGGTTGGGTTTGACCCATTTTTACCTGGTTATTTCTAGTTCGGTCTTCTTAAGGTCTTGTTAAGAAAAACTTTAGATCAAAATCTAATTTTTTATAACAGGTCTCAGATGAAAAATTTGCCATATCAATATTTTTTTCAAGTCTTGTAGGACCGACGCTAGTTAGCCTAGAAAGGAGTACTAGCGTATGAAAGGAGGAGTATAATCTCCCTTAATAAGAGTAATAGCGTTTGAAAAATTTAAAATAAAATTCTTAAGTATTTAAAAACCAAAGTAGGAGTATAATGTTAGTGTAATGTAAGAGTACACATTGACAATTTGATGGAAAAATGATGAAAACATAAAAGGCAATGTGATCAGTCAATCATTGGCGGCATTCTAGTGGTCGACATCGACTGGTGAAAGTGTGGTAGTGATAGTGGGGTAGTTGTGGTGTGATCGTGGTGAGTTTGGCAATGCAACAATGACATTGTGGATTTCTATTTTTATCTTAAAAGATTTAGGACTATTATTTTGGTATTTTTATAGTTTTGTATATTTATCTAAAGAGTTCTACCTTAGCCTAGTCATGCGATATGACTTTTTTTATTTTAAATTTAATTTTGCAAGTGTTTAGAGAATACCCATAGGAATAGAGTAGTATTTAAGTGAAAAAAATACTCCCTCCGTCTGCAATTACTTAGTTTAGTTACTAGACTTACTACTGGAATTTTACAATAACTTTTGTTTGTTTATGCATTTTCATTGATCATTTGTTAAACAAAATAGGCTTTTCACCAGATGTTCTGTACTCCGTAGAACTTTTGATTTTGTTTCTAATATCTAAGTTTTAGTTTTTATTTTTATACCAATTTATAAATAAAATAATTTTAAAATAGATTGAATTTTGTACATTGTTTGAAAGAGTTCGTATTTTATTCTTGACCACTACCGAGTAGATGAATGCGTGATCATATTTTACAATACAATGACACAAATTTTCAAAAACAGTCTACAATTTAAAGATTTTAAAACATTTCTCCCTCTATACGTTTCTTCTAGTTTAATTGTGGGTATTCAACTATTGAAGGACAAAAAATTCCTAAAGCATTGGCAGAAAAGAAGTACATATGTTCTTATACACTTCAAATTTTCAATTAGACCTTATTTTCATAACATATAATATTATACTTAATATATTGTTCTAGCATAATTTCATTCGTATATCGATCTATGGGTTATTAGGAATGATTACTAATAAGCCTAACACATTTTTCCCTATTAATGCATGGTATTTGAAATGAGAATGTATATATAATTGGTTGCTAGGGCAGATTGGTGTTCGAGAAATATTGCGAGGCAATGAAGGAGTTATCTATGAGAATTGTAGAGATGTTGGGGAGGAGTTTGAAAGTTGACCCATCATACTACAGGGAGTATTTCGTAGAGGGTGTTTTGATGTTGAAGTGCAACTTCTACCCTCGGTGTGCAGAGCCAGAGTTCACTCTAGGCACAGGCCCCCATCGTGACACCAATTCCCACACCATTCTTTACCAAGATGACCAAGTTCAAGGACTTCAAGTCTTTGTGGACAACCAATGGAAGCTTGTGAGGCCTATCTCTCACGCACTCGTTGTCGCCATTGGTGACACCTTCCAGGTAAGTTATACTCCCTTTGTCCTTAAAAGTGTTTCTCTTTTTTTTCCGTGTCCCAAAATCCGTTTCTCTTTTCGATTAATAAATTACTTTTACCCACACTAATTTTTATCCTTCCTATCACATCATACCTTTTTACTAATAATATACATATTACATTCTACTTTTATTCATCACATCAGGGATAATATGAAAAAGTCCATACAAAAATATTCCTTCTTTAAATCACATAAAAGTAAAAATGAGAACGACGTTAAGGGACAGAGGAAGTAATGAATTGAAAGTAATAATGCACATCTAAGCTACAACTAGTCCATTTCCCAGACCAAAACATTTACTCGATATATTAGTAAAACCTAGGTCATATTACCTTAGGTCAGCCTGAGCACATTCGAACACGGCAACTGCAGTGGGCTCCCAACAAGGATCAGCCTAAGTGAGGGTCAAACAGCCCTACCCGCCTAGGCCTATTCTTTTTGGAGGCCCAAAATTTTTAATTTTTAATATATGCTTTATAATATACATACATACATAGATACATATATACACACACACACACAAATATATACATATACATATACATATACATACATACATACATACATATATATATATATATATATATATATATATATATATATATATATATATATATATATATAGACACACACACGCATACATAAATGAATTTAATCGGTTATTAATTTGTTTAAACAAAATTAGTTTATATGTTAAAAAGCTAAAAAGTGCTTTTTAGAATTTAATGTGTTAGTGCTAAGGGCCATTTGTTGTTTCTTCATAAACCCTTGAATCATCAAGACCAGTCTCTAAACATTTTGGGAGTATTTGTATACTTACAATGGACTATGTTAGAGTATCATGCATACAAAGTATGGAGAAAACTCAATAGGTATATAAGTTCTTTAGTTGAACTAATAAATTGTTTGGATTTAATCTTTTAATGTGGTTCAAACCAAGTATTTTATGACTCGATCGAGTGATCTCTATCTCATCCTAAATCCTATCATGATGTAAGACTAAGTTATAATGGGCAAATCTCGTTATCAAGGTATCTGTCTTCACAGTAATTCCTAGCGCTAAAGTCTCTAGCCCATTGTTCGGCTGGAAGGCCATACATGGCGACTTGAAAGTCTTTAGTGAAATCTCGTAAGGGTAGCAGAAATAACCAAATAGAATCAAGCAATCAAATTTAATAAATAATCTACTGAAAAGGATGCATGTTATAGCAAAGTTGCAAAAGCATATGGCGTACAAAGTGCTATAACACCTTTTTCGTCACAAGCACACACAGAGAAAACAGTAAAAACATAGATAATAGTTTATGTTGTTCGGAGTAGAATCTTCTACGTCTGCAATGCCCACATCCGTGTAACAACTATCCACTAAATCATCATAATGATTACAACAATTAATCACAAAAGAACTTTCTAATGTATTGACCAACCAAATTACAAATGAATTTTGAATGCAAAATCTATTTGTGTCTTTCTCCTTAGATGCTTACACTTTCTCAAAGTTTTACTTCAAGGATGTGCTCTCAACCTTCTACCAGGTCAGCACTGCACTCAACCTTTGGATGGTTTGACGAGCAAACACATTACAAGATAAGTAATTTGTTTGTCATGGAGCAATTGGGTGTCTAGGTTGAACACGAGCTGTGGTAACTTTCACACTAGAAAATTAAATATGGCGTGAACTCTCTGTGAAAATATGAACTCACTATCTCTTGATGTCTGTAACTCTTGTATATTTTGCACGCCACATAGGTAGAGAGGACGCGGCATATAAAGGGCATCTACAAACCCTAGTGGAGTTCATCTTGGAGTCTATCATTGTCAGCTCTATTAAATTCATAGACTATCTAAATAGTAGCCAACTCTTGACTCTTACGCAACAAGAACTCTTGTGCGTACCACTCCTTGTTGTCACGAGGCTTGGGATAAGCATTATCAATATAATTTGTTATCGTAACGTGAAACACTCGTTTTTGAAGTTAGCCACCTTCAGTGCATAGAGCCAAAAGAAGTGCTACAACACATGGTGATGAACAAGATGTTACAACTCAACCTTATTACAAAATGGCTAGGAATCTAAGCAATTGCAGACCTATTCAGTTGTCAAAAAATAATACCAACAGGAACCATAACAACTTAACTAAACCACAACAAGGGTAGACATGTCAATCAGGTCAATCAGTTCGGTTCCGGTTCAGGTCTCTTTTGAATATGTGTTATAATCAACTCAAGTTGGTTCGGTTCGGTTCACTTCGGTTCCGGGTTTGATTTTATCCAGTTTTTGTTTGGGTTTGGTTTGATTAGAGATTAGTTTTGGATAGATATCAGTTTAATTTGGGTTTATATCGATTAGGATTTATATTGATTTGGGTGTATATCGATTCATGTTTATACCGGTTTCAGATGAGATCTAATGGTATTGGATTTCCTAATATTAGCCTTGTGGGTATAGTAGCCTCCCCTCCCTATGTGTAAAGGGAGGTATATATACAAGTTTCATCAATAATGGGCCAGCATATCTATCAATGTGTGTTATAATGTCACCATAAATTGTATATACTCTGTATAAAAATAGACAACCACCTTTGCTTAAATGATAAAATACGAAGTAAAATATTTGTACATTAAATCAATTCTACCTATAATTCAAATATGCTTTTCTTAAAGAGAAATCAACTAATGAGCTATTAGGTTTGCCCATATTTGAGTTTAATTTGTTTTGAAATTGATCAATATCGAGTCTAATCGATTTTGGATCTAATAGGTTTCAGGTCTAATTAGTTCCAAGTTTAATCGATTCCGAGTTTAACCGGTTTGGATTTAATCGGATTCAGATATGAATCAGGTCTGAATACATTTGGTTGAATTCAGATTATTTTGGGTGTTTGGTTATAATTTGGTTCTTCAGTTTTTGGGTCACTTTGGATTTGGTTCTAGGTTCTTCAATTCGGATTATTAGGTCCAGGTATGTTTTGCTAGGTTTTAAATAAGGGATTGACAATATGTGAAACAAACATTTAAGTGTTCCTGCTCAAATATTTCTTACAGGGATGTGAATCCAACTTCAAATGGTTAACCCGTAAGATTCAAAATTACTTGATTGTCTGCTGGAAGGGGAGTGTTACAGTATCCATATCGAAAGTATTGATAAAAATTAATCAGTATAAGCTTTTGAGGTGAACTAAAAAATCAATTGAATTCAACTTTTAATGTGGTTCAACCCACGTGTTTATGGCTCAATCCAGTACGTGATCCCTATCTGATCCTAAATTCTACTCGAGCTGTTTTTAAGTCCAAGTTTAAAAAGATGTTTCTTTTCCCTTTCTTTAACTTATGTGTCTATCATAAAATGCTCTATATGATATAGTTTTTCCTGTCCCAAAAAATCCTCTTTCACTTTAAATAATGTGCCAAATCTCATCGTTTTTAAAATGATTTTATTTTCAATTTGGTATATAAATAAAAAGTACAAATTATAATGTTGAAAACTATACCAAAAGGTTTACAAAATAAAATGTGACAAGAATATTTTATTTTGTCAAATGATCAGTGAAAGCGAGCGAACAAACTAAAGTTATCAAAGAGTCTAGTATAGTAACTGTGATGACTTTTGGGATGGACGGAGTAATTTATTATGTTGTCTATAGCCTAGAGATACAAGAACTGAAGCGAAAAAAGCTTGCACATTAAGACCATCTCCAACACTCTACCCCATACTCAAACTCAAAATGCAGTAAATATAAAATGAAATACTTCATCCGTCCTTGTGTATTCATCTAGTTTGACTTTTTCGAGCCTAGAGGAACATTAATCATCAATTAGTTAAAATTTGTATTGCATATTTATTTAATGAAATCCATTTTTGAAAATTCTCAATAAGATAGATCTATTGAAATTATTCTTATACTAATATATACATTACAATTTTGATTTAATTGATGTTGAAAGTTCATTTGGTTTGACTCAACAATGTCAAACTGGAGGAATACGCTGGGAGCGAGGTTTTACTAATTTATCTCCAACCCGTGACTCCAAAATCCAGCTCAAAAATTTATTCACCCAATATTTTTTTAATTAAAACTATAGGAGTATTTAACCTCTACAAAGTTTCCATGGATCTTCTTTAGACCTTCTTCATATCTTCTTCAGATATCTAAACAAGATAACCTCTTCTTTTGTTAACTAAAGAGACCCTCTTCTTCAACCTACAGATCTTCATCCTCTAAAATAAATATTAAATGTTACAGTCTCTTTTTCAATTCTCCATTTTGAATTGGTAAGATTCTTATTCTTCTTCTCATTTTTTGGGAGTTCCCACATCGAAAAAAGTAATGAAGTACTACTACCATATATATAAGGATAAAACTCTTATTACTAGCTTAAGATCTTGAGTCACAAAGTGGATCCCATCTTTATAAATTCTAGTGATATTCATTACTTTTTTCGATGTGGAATTCCAACAAATATTTATTTTCTAGAATCATCTTTGGTATTCGCCATTTTTGGTTAATTATGGGTTAAATTTAAGTAGTGTCTTGGTTTATAGTATTGGCATGTTTATGGTTATTTTGTCTAAGACTCTAACACCCATCTTCAATCGCCATGGTTTAGTTGCAGATATGGTAGGATATGCAACGTTGCAGGAATGCTTGAGATTCTTTTTCTGGAAATAAATCAAGCAGAATCATACAATTTTCATACTTTCACCCAAACACAAAAAAGGAAAATGATTTTGGACAAATAACGAACTCATTTTCATGAAGTCATTTTCCTTGTTTAGAAACATACCCTTTTTTAACCATTCATTGAATTCTTATTCACTCAAAAATATCAATCTCTTCTTTGACTTTTGTTGATTAACAAGAAGCTATTCTTTCGTTTTTAACAAATATAATTACTTTAAATTTTAATACGTGCAGGCCTTGACAAACAAAATGTACAAGAGTTGTTTGCATAGGGCAGTGGTGAACAACGAGCAAGAGAGACTGTCGTTGGCATTCTTCATATCCCCTGCAGAAGGAAAACCTATAAAAGCACCTGAGGATCTCATCAGCATAGACAAGCCAAGATTGTACCCTGAGTTCACATGGTCAAATCTCCTCTACTACATCCAAAACCATTATAGAGCTGATGATGCCACCCTCCAAAATTTCTGCAAATGGCTCCAATCTACATAAACTATACCAAAGCTATAACTGGACACACACACACACACACACATATATATGTATATGTATATATGTGTGTGTGTGTGTGTGTGTGTGTTTATATGTGTATATATATATATATATATATATATATATATATATATATATATATATATAATACTAGTGCCTAGGGCTGGACTGTGCAGATCTAGAACCGGCGATTTCAGATCTAGTTCCAGGCCAGTTCTCGGTTATTTTTATTTTTTTTAAATTTAATATTATATGTAATGTAAAAGAAATTTATAAATTTTTATAAATTCTAATAATGTAATAAAGAGAATCTCGAAGGAGCTTATAAATCGCTCACCTAAAAAAACTAATTACAGTTTAAAATAGATACAAATTTATTCTTTAGAAGTATCACTTCCCTCCGTGGTTGCATCCATGTAATTTTGTGTATCAATGTCGTAGCCTACCTCTTGTGCTCGACACCTTCCCAAGAGCCAATCTTGGTTCCAAACAAGTGTCTCAAGTGACTCTATGCTAAGACAATGTTGGTAATTGGTTAAAATGTTGCGGGTAGAATTGAACTTTTGTTCGACAACAACGGTCGAAATTGACATAGATAACACTTGTCTGGATAGCATTCCTAGTGACGTGAAAATGTGTTCGTTCCGCTTCCACCATTCGAGGACGTCAAACTCGGTATCGTTGTCTTCATCGTAGTCGCATGAAACGCCTTGGTACATCGCCAGTTCGTTGTGCGAACTTGCGCTTGTACTCATCGACGAACAACTAAACCTTTTTTTGCCAAGAGGCCATCGACTATCCCTTTAAAACCTTTTTTTGTCTTTGGGGCAGGAGGAGCTACTGTTTCTTCAAGTGGAGTACCTTATGTAACTTGAAATTCTTTAAATAAGGACTCAAAAAGATCAATAATACTATCTCTTTGTTTTGTCCATTCTACTAATTCATTATAAAAGTAACTATTTTAATATAAAAACAACTATAATAGTAGTCTTTCCATTCTTGAAAACACTTCCTATTTTGACCAAGTGCCCAAATAAGGAAGTGTTAAATTGTAGTTGACTTCCAATTTTGCCTTTAGATGTGACGAGTAAAAGTAAGATGTGATGGATAGATTATTAGAGAAAAAATATGATGTGATAGGTAGGGTAAGAAAAAAGTAAGGGTAAAAATATTTTTTAATAGAAAGTGGAAGTGTTTTGGTGGAAGAGAAAAAAAATGAAAGAGGAAGTGTTTTCCCAAACGAAGGTAGTACTTTCAAATTCTCAATCTTAAAGTCTAGATCACAAATAATATCAATTTTATAAATATTAGAAATATATAAATAATAAGCACACCATTTATCCTTCATAGGATACACATAAGGGTAAAAATTTGGACCAGATAAACTTTCACAAAAACATGTAGCAATTGTAATACACACGGAAAAAAATCTATTTGTCGTGGGTTTGTAAACATGTGAAAAAGTAAGAGTGGCATTACTAAAAACCTTTAACACGTTGTTCAATTTTTCAACAAGAATAAATTCATTCCAATTGATAAAATGATTAAGTTCATGCCTGAGAAATGAAAAAAGTTCTTCTTTATACCACATGATCTGGTCAATCAACTTATATGTACTATTCCATCTAATCGCAATGTCCTTAGCAAATGTTATTGGTTTTTTTATCTTTAGATTTACAGTACGACTTCCAGGCATGAAAGTTAAGAACACTAGCCTAAATTAATCTTAACCGTACCAAAAACACGCGTTTTTGTGAAGGAATTTGTGGTGTCTTGTAGGCATTTATTTCCGTCTCAAAATGGTTTGTGACGGATGTTTGTGACTGATCATGGGCGTGCGTAATCTGGCGTCACAAACACTTTGTGACGAAATATTAGGCCTTCACAATATTTGTTAGGGTTTTGTCAAGGCATCATCCTTCACAAAGTTACGTTTGGGTAAACATTACTTTTTGACTTTGTGTCGACCAGAACCGTCACAACATTTGTCTCGTCATTTTGTGACGGATTTATGCATCGTAAAGTTAAAATTTTGAAAGTTTTGATTTTCAATCTTAACCGCCACTGCCAATTGTGTGAAGGATTTTGGGATGGTTTTTTCCGTCACAAATTAAGAAAATTTAAAAATTTCATTTTTAGATTTAACCCGCCGCTGCCAAACTTGTGAAGGTTTTGAGGTGAGTATAGCCGTCACAAATTTTGAACATTTTAAGAAAAATTGTGCGGGCGCCGAAGCGCCCCCACATTTATTTTTTTTTTTAAAAATTATTTTGTGTAGTTTTTATTTATTTAGAGCTTACAATAACATAAAAACATATAATTAATAAAATTAAATAAATCATAATAATGTTTCACCAAAAGTTAAACATACACCGTAAGCAAAAAAATAAGGTATTGTATACATGTCTAAAAGCTAAGTAATTCAATAGATACAAGTCATAACATTGTTCCAATTAACCAAACAAAATTATTTTCATCAATGAAGGCCTGGGGATTCATTCAGGTACAAATCCACATCAATGAAAATTACTTCGTATGATTTCAGTGATTTTGTCCAGCACAATTTTTTTCTACCCAAATAAAAAATGACAAACAAAGTCAAAAATATAATTTTCATAGCAATCAAAAAATAATTAAACACGGTACATAAAAATTACCCAAATAAATTATCCAATGTTATGAAGTTCAATTCCCTTTCAGCAATAGTTTCCCCTTCCATGCTTTTCTCCTCCCCCAACAACCCCAACATCCACTGCACAGAGGGAGAGCAACGACTCTCAAGGGTTACTGGAGACTCAGTGGTTGGGGGTGTCATGCCACGTTGAACAGAGCTACTTCGTCCGCCGCGGACACTAGGGCCACGACCTCCCTGACTAGATTGAGAGTGTAACTTTGACATCGACAACTACAACTTCACAAACAACACTATAAGAATAAATATAGAAAAATTAGACCACAACTAGAACTAAATTTGCATAATTTAAACACTAAAAAATGAATTAATGGCGGTGAGACAAGGTTTTGAGATAGAAAAACAAGTACAAAAAATGAATTAGATAGAAAAAGATCTTGAATCACACATGATGACAACAAAAAAAGAACGTACTAGAACATCAGAGTACCGACGATTTTCTACGAGAAGGATAGGATCGAAAGAGATGAGAGGGGAAAATAAGGGAGGCGTGGATTAGGTCTGGCGGAGTGTAAATGGAAAAAATTTAGAAGAGATCCTATATAATCTAATTTGGGAAGGACTTTGTGACGTATAATTCCTCCACAAACTGTGCCGTATAACCTACTCGGTATCTTCATATCGGTCAAATCGCCTGGTCTTTCTGACACTTGTTTTTGTGAATGAATTTGTGACAACAATTTCCATCTCAAAAACATTACTGCGTTGTTTCACCAAAAAATTTAAAATATTACTTCCTCTACTTATCTCAAGAACGTAATAATTGTGCTCAATGTTTGACAACTGTAAAACGGAGAAATACTTAGCATTTATTTTTGAAAATAAAATGTTTATGAAATGTTTATGAAAGTACTTAAATGATACTTTATCCCCCCCCCTTTGAAATTTCCCTATTTAATTTTCATAGTAAATTTTTTAAATTTTGATTACAAATTGCGAAAAAAATATGTTGAATTGTGAAATAAATTCAAAACCAATAATTTCATTTTAATTTGAATCATACTTTTGAAATATCTTATTTTAATACTATATATCATTACATAAATAAAGATATTGATGATCAAAGTGTTGGTTTGAAACCGTAAAGAATCAAATGAAAAGTTTCAAAGAGATCGATAGACGGGGGTATATATAAAAGAGTATGCTTTTTGGTTCTAAAAATGATTGTCAACGGAGTTCATATATATATATATATATATATATATATATATATATATATATATATATATATATATATATATATATATATATATATATATATATATATATATATATATATATATATATATATATATATATATATATATATATATATATATATATATATATATATATATATATATATATATATATATATATATATAT